TCTCAATTAAATATGACTTATTCCCATTACTCTTATGCATATTCTAGGTAATATAGTGCCCTTCCTTCAGTAATTTATTTTCTGCATCTTAAATTATTTATACCACTATGTTTTTATGTTTGTCTTTATATCAGACCAAGAAGTATGTCTCTCAGTGCCAGAAGCTATAAGAAGGTCAGTAAAATAAATCTGAGCAACCAGAGAGAGCCGCCCATAACTTTGCTAGGTTATACACTGGAACTGAGTGATTTTTTTTAATCTAGTCTTTTAGGTTCACTTAAATTCATTGTTTTCCATTTAGGTTTTTAAATAATTATGCTGAAAATTTTATTCTAATTACTTTGTAATTATATTTATCGGTAGGATTCTTATGAACAATAACAGCTATAAGTTTTTTCAGGTCCTAATATATTCCAGGAACTGTACTGGCCCTAGAATATGCACGAGGCAACTATACTTCAACACTACTTGCACAAGAGCTCTGCAAAGTAGGCGTTAACTTGCCCACGGGCACACAGTGTGTAGTACAGTATTTGAACCCAAACCAATATGACTTAACCATTTATTTTCCTTTAAGTATGTTATATAACAGGACTACTTGATTAAGTATTACTAGATTGAATCAATCCATTGTGAATCTAATCCAGCTGTAGGATGTCACAACATAGATTGCTCAAGTGGGTGTTCTCTTCCTTCCTCACCAAACCACATGCTTTCCTCCTAAAACTATTAATACATTATCAATTCCTCCTAAGGAGCAGTTCATTTTTTTTCCTAATTTGTATGTGTAGCTGTTGCAGTTCACTACTGGACTATCCGCTTTGGTGTTATAACATCCAGCCTTTACAGTGATCTCCTATGTGCTCGGGACATTTTTGAGAAAATTTTTGAGAAAATTTTGAGAAGGTTGCCCATCATGAACTGGGTTTTTAAAAAGAAAAAAGATGTGTTAAAAAAAGAATCTTTTGAGAAGGGAAATCAATAGGATTTGACTGATTGCATATGAGAGGCGACATAATTATAATTGAAAGTACCTCGAATGATTCTTAAGTTTCTGGCTTTCGCAAATGCTAAATGGATTGGTAAATGGAGAGTGAAGCTATTCACTAAGAAGCAGGACAAAGGAGGAGCCCTTACAAAGGAAAAGATGGAATAAAGAGAAATACTGAGCAAAACGGTGATTATAGATTTGAAAATATAAATAACTAGAGAGTCTTCTATTTAGAGTGGATGCTCAAAATTGACAGGGTTATGAGGCAAGGTGGGATTGATTAGTGGATCACAAGATTTAAATGTGACCTTCTGAAATGTGACCAAACTTGTAAATTTGGTCAGCTACACAAGACTCTGCATGATAATGTTCAGACTGGGGACTCAGTGGTGGTGATGTTTATAAACTCAGTAGGTTATCCTTTTGGTGACAGAACTGGCAAATCTGAAATTCATTCAACCATTCATTCATTCCAGTGCCTGCTGTGCACCGGAAACGGAGTCATCTGAGAAAAGAAAGATAAATATCATTTGTGAATTCTAGAAGTTTTCAGTCTAGAAGGCAACACAGACATGATTTGGTCATTATAGCACATGCTCCAGTAGAAAAATGTATAACATGCTATGAAAATATTAAACAGGGAATTTATCTTATATGTAATAGTTTTGTCTTGCTGATGTCAGTAGATGATAGGTA